GACATAATTAGTATTTGAAGAATAAATCAACCTTTAGTTCTCTGGCACATTTATCCCTAACCTTTTAAAAATTGCAATATAGTTACTTTCATCATTTTCTTTGGTTAACTTTGACACCAATAAAAGCTTAGTTGAATAAATATATATTATATATCAAACCTTAATTTGACATCATTTTCTTTCCTTCTATATTTTTCTTTCTTATTCACTTTTTATCTCTTCATTTTTCATTATATACCTCTTTTTACTATAATGTCCTTTTATCTCTTATTGCGTATATTAAAAATGTTTTTAAACCAATACTTAAGTAACACAACTTCTTAATATTATTCTTTAATTCTTTTTCACTTACCTTTACACCTTAAAGTTAGAGAACTTTAATTCTTTTTCACTTACCTTTACACCTTAAAGTTAGAGAACCGCTTGTACTCATTTAAAAGTTGTTTTCAACTATTGCTATCATAATCCTTCTTTTAATTCTTTGCTTATTACTATTACTCTTTGGTGCCTTTTCACTTACCTCTCATTTGTTTTTCTTGTAACCCCATCTCTTAGCTTCCCTAATCACTATTTATCATTATATTTATTTTTATATCATACATTCGCCATCTTTTTCCCTCTATATATTGAGTTTTTTAACCTGTGTTTGCATGCATTAATTGCAATTTTTTTCTCAATTTTATTAATCACCTAATTAAAATTCTACATGTGTTTTATTACCCAATTTTTTTCTCTGCCCCTTCTTTATATTAAAAATGTTTTATGTTAAAACAAGAAAAGTGCAACTTTTTAACATTATTATCTTAGTACAACCACTTGCTTACTTTTCTTGAGTTTCATCTCTTAGCTTACTCTTCATATTTTATCATTATATATTTTTATCTTATACTCGCATTAATTTTCTCTCTCCATGTTAATAATTTAATTTTTATTGTTTTGTTCTCTCACTCATCTTTCGTCACATATATATTTTTTAATAAGCCAAATCAATCTTTCTATATTAATTATTCTTTTGAGTCACTCTTTGCATCTTTAATTATTATTATAAATCTTTTTTGCTCTAATTTCGATCTCTCATTGTCTATATTAGAAGTATTTTAGATCATTGTCTATATTAGACATATTTTAGGTCAAGATAAATGTGACACAACTTCTTAACATTATTCTCTAACTGTATTTTACTTACCTTTATGCCTTAGGGGTTAGAATACCTCTTATACTTCTTTAAAAGTTGTTTCCCATTATTGCCATCATAATCCTACTTCTGATTCTCTTTTATCTCTCTTTTTTTTTTTTTTTTTCTAATTAGAG